ATATATCTGATTATGTAAGATATGTCTATCAAACTATTATATAAAAGTACTCCTTAAAATTTTAGAAAGCAAAAATATCACTTCTAAGCATAGAGTACACCTGACTCACACTATAATATTTTCAATTGCATCATATGCATTGGAAAGTGGGGTAGTGAGAGTGAACAGCAAAGAATGATACCTTTGAATTACGGGATTGGTGAAGAACATTAAGTCTAACATGGGCTCCCAGAAGTATGAACCCATTTGTTTTGTAATTAAGCCAATATATTCTTTAGAAACAAGCATGGTGAATTTTGGCTTACATACTTTGGACCTATTATCAAGAGGAACCAGCCTGATGCTGCAGTTTCTTGAGCAGGGAGAATGAACATGGAACCAAACAGACACACACACAGAGACAACACAGGACTGCAGCACAAAATAGACACAGAGACAGTACAAACTGCAGCATTGATGGCCTGCAGTGCTTTATTTGTAAGTACTAAATACTGACAGTGCTCCCAGATAAGTTTGCTATTCCCACGCTTGAATTTCTCATAGCCTTGAGAGTGAGTTCGGTATCTCATCCTGTACCGCTTTTGATTTGCTTTCTACCAGGGAAACACTGTTTGCAGCTGCCCCTACACCACCCCCCACCCCGCCCCCGAATTCCTTACCGTTTGCAGTAAGGAAGCAGTTTATGAGAACCAACTAGGACAGACGTTTGCGCACTGTCCTAGACAGATAAATGACATGAGACACAGTGCTCCTCTCATGGCTCCTTCACAGCCCATAAACAAGAACATTTTGCTCGGTAAAGTCCAAAGTCAGTGAAAGAGGAAGATCACTTGGCACAGCAAGTGCAACAGTAGGGTTAGACAGGATGATTATCAGGATGGCTCAAGACCAGGCAGTTTTTTTGTTACATTGTACTTAGAAACTGAATGGACGGCACCTAACAGTACAATATGTGTGGTTATAGCTTGAATTTGTTGTTTTGTTTTGAATTTCCCTAATGACTATTATGTTTAACATCTGTTTATATGGTTGTTGACCACTTGTTTATCTCTGTGGCATTTCCAATTGCCTTGTATACATGTGAAACTTGGACATTGAATAAGGAAAACAATGAACTTAAGCATTTTGAATTACGGTGCTGGAGAAGAATATTGAAAGTACTATAGACTATCAAAAGAACTACAAATCTGCTTTGGAAAACGTGCAGTCAGAAAGCTCCTTAAAGACAAGCATGGTGACACTTTGGACATGCTATCAGGAGAGGCCAGTCCCTGGGAAAAGATATCTTGCTTGGTAAAGTAGAGGGCCAGCAAAAGCGGAGGCCCTCAAAAAGATGGATTCACATTGTAGCTGCAACAATGGGGTCAAGCATGAGAATGATTTGTAAGGTCTTGCAGCATGGAGCAGTGTGTCACTCTGTTGTACATAGCTTTGTCACTGTGAGTCAGAATTTGACAGCACCCAACAACACATATATATTTTTTTCTTTTAAGAAAATTAATCATTTTATAGATAGCTCTTACAGATATTATAACAATCCATGATTCAGTTAGATTAAGCATAATTTTACAGGTGCTACCACCATCCGTTTCAACATTTTTTTTCTTCTTGAAATCTCTGATATTGGCTCTCTTTTATTCCCTCCATTCCCCACCCTAGCCCCAGGAACCTTTATTATTATATTATTATTATTTGCCGTATCTTATCACATCCAATGATCTGTTCACACTCAATTCTATTATTTGTTCCCCTTGAGTGGAGTTATATAGTCATCATTGTTGTCAGCCTCTACCCCACTTTCCCATACCCTCAGGGAATCATTACTTCTGTTACTGTTTCTAAAGGGTCATCTATCTTGGCTTTCATGCATGGAATACTTTTAATTATACAAATGAACATATGCAGGTCTAACCAGATTAGTGAGGTAAAATAAAGACCATAATAGTAAGGGGATGAAAAATTAAAGAACTAGAGGATAGTTTTGTGTTTCATCAGTGCTATTCCGCTCCTTAGATTTACCATCTCTTCTGTGTGGCCCTTCTGTGAGGCAATGTCCAATTATCTTACAGGTTGTTTTGGGGTCTGCACTTTTTCCACGCTCCTTCACCTCAATTGGATTGCTAAAACAACATTTTTAGTGAAGCATTTATTCAAATATTTTTGCCCTCTCGGGTTTTTTTCTTCCTGAGTTTAGATAGTTAATTCTATGCTGAATACAATTCATTTGTTTTTTTATAGGAAGTACAACTATTTTTTTCCAGTCCATTGCATCTCTTTTAATTATTTTAACTTTTTTTTAAGTGTAGTTTTTCCATTTTGATTAAATCCTGTGTTGATATGTTCTTTTATTACACATTTGTTGAATCTAAGAACTCTGGTTACCTCAAGATCAGAAAGATAGTCTTTTAAAAAATTTTCTGCTAGAAGTGTTATAGTTTTAAGGTTTACATTTATATCATCATCTATTTTGAGTGAATTTTGTACATTGTTCTAGGGATTGCAGCTTAAATTTCTTTCTTTCTTTGTATGCCCAGGTGCTCCAGCTTCATTTTCTGCATTGACTATTTTTTGGCCACTGAATTGCCTTTGCACTGTTGTAAAAGTATAAATCAACCACATATCTATCTATTTTGGGGCTCACTAGTCTGTTCTGTTGATCGATTTGTGTATTTTGATTGGTGTCTTAATACTCAGGTAGTGCAGGCCCTTCAATTTTGTTCCTTTCTTTCAAAGTTGCTTTGACTCTTCTAGGTCCTTTATAGTTATGCAATCAAACCAAACCTTTTTTAACCAAAATGTCTGTAGGGATTTTCTTTGAGGTTACCTAGATCTAGCTATATAAAAGCTATATATCATCACTACTGCTTTACACTGAAGAAACTGAAGCGCACAGAAGTTAAGTAACTTGCCTAACCTAAGTTAGCTTGTAAAAATCAGAACTGAGATTCAGAGCTGGCAAGTGTGAGGTTAGAGCTTTTTGTTTTTTACTGCTTCTTAAACTAATTGGACTTCTGTATTAATTTCATGACAGTAAGGGCATGTCTTTCTTTCATAGTTGATTTCTAGAAGAAAGCACAGTGCTTACCACATAGTAGGCACTGTAATATTTCCTGAATGAAACTGGAATCTTTTAAAACAGAAAACTAAGTTTCATTTTATTTCACTTGATCTCTATTTGGCAGAATACAAGTGATTTGTCTTAAATAATGTCTGTTTTATCTTTGGGTTCTAATATCCATTGCAATGGGTACACAGAACTCACAATAAAATTCATGTTTTAAAAAGGCTTATTAAGGAAGTGAACAAATTGTAATGCCAGTGTGAGAAGTGCTCAGGGTTGAGTTGTGTATAAAGACATGTTACAAAGTTCTTTTGGCGCTGTTAATAAATACCAAAGGTGCATACCAGAACCAAAAGGTCAGCAAACCCAGTTCTCTGAATTAGGTGCCCAGTGACCCAACTCCAATTAGCATTTGCCAGAAGGCACTCAGCTCCACTTCATGTGGCAGCAAGCTCGGCTTTCCCATTTAAAGTGCCCAGGGGTGCCCCACTTTGCAAGCCCAAAGGACTCAGCTTTGCTTGCACTTGGCTTGGGAAGGACCATCACTCTGTCCTTTGTTCTGGCTCCTGCTGCTGTTACTTTGATGTTATAGTTGCCTTCCTGAGAAGCTAACTGCTCAGTGATCTCAGGTCCAGAGAACTCCCTTTGCTCTGCTCCAGCTCTTGCTGGTAATGAGCTCCCTCCTCCTATTTCTCAAAGGGCTAATTTTATTCAAGCAGGATAGCATGCCAGAGAATCTTGTTCACAGTCACTTACAGGTGAACCCTGTCTACCTCCACCCTCTTCCCAGATCCTTGCAGGGAAAGGTCATTCGGTGAGAGTGGAGAACCACATTAAATAATTCAACTGCCCCTGTAGTAAGAGTATTTAAGTATTTTGCCCTTAATCTGCCATTTATTATAAACATTTTCATAATTAGGAATCTGTCTATCCAGACTAGAAATCAATTAAAAGCAGCAGAAGCATATACTGAATTTGATATTAAAGTATGGTGACCAGACGTCCCGCTTTTTGCCATTTAAAAAAAGCCCCGATTTTTGGAAAGAATGCACGACAAGCTAGGGAACTGTCTATTTGGTCCATATAGGCCAAATTTTTAATCAAGAACACCCCATCTCCCACCCCCGGTCAATGGTGTCCCGCTTTAAATCTGGTCACCCTATTACGGATGCAGGAATGTCCTATGCATCCCGCACTAAAGCAGTTAGCCAGCCCTCAGTCAGAGATCGGAGTTGGGTATTGATGATCCAGTAAGACTTTGTTTTTATCAGTTGCCTCTATAAGTCTTTTTCATTCTTCTTTTTGAAGAAATAAGCATCCTCTGCTTTGCTAGTGACAAAAATAGAGGAGGACGCTCAGTTACTTTTTTTCCTTACATATTATATGCTACAGGTTTTGCCACTTGTGGAAGCTGACAGGTTGATTTGACCTTCAGAGTTTAAGACAGAGAATCCAATTCGCATGACTTTGATAAGACATTTATCCCTGACCCAACAAGTTATAATACATTTAGCAGAATACATAGGACAAGCATAGGTACTGTGAGTTTACTCATGGAAGGATGAGGGGAAAGTAGGTTGTAGTTTTCAGAGAGTGGGTGGAATGTGAGTGGAATGATGACACTATAAAGAGTTTACTGTTTGCTTTATCAATTTGGCTCAAGCACTTTTGGGGCCAGACTGCTGGAATTCTGAACCTCGACTCTAATGTAATCTTCATGCTGTATGCTTGATGGGCGCTGTCACTTTCCAGTTTGATGAACTTAAAAGAAACCAAAAGAGCTAATATATGTAAATACACATACATATATATAACAGATGTAGCTCTTAATTAGCAGTACAATGAGTAATTTATAATTATATCAGATTTTATAATTCATTGAGATGATTGTTTTACTGTACTTGTAGTATACTTCCTATCTTGTTTATTTTTTTCACAGAGACAAATATCGGATTGTATATATAACTCCAGAATTCTGTTCAGGTAACTTGGACCTCCTCAAGCAACTTGAAGCTACTATTGGTAGGTCTTAAGATAGGATCTTTATGAATATATATTGAATTGAGTCATTGCTTAATGTTTGATTTATGGGTGAATTCAAGCATTCCCTGAATAAGAATGTCTGACTTACTATCAAATCATAATTCCTCTTGAATATTATATAAATTTTCTCTCACTTTGAAATGATTAAGCCAACCCATAGAGCCCATAAATTCTTCATCACAGTCACCTTCACTAGCTGCATGGCAGCTTTTAAATCACTGAAAAGTCTTTGAGCTTGTTCTTGCACTAAAGCAGTTTATTCAGGTTCCACTTCCTACTGAGAATTTGCATTTCCACTCGAGATGTTCTAAACAGTCTACACTTTAATAGGGTATATACATAAGTATCACCTGGAGGTGTCTAAGAATATAAGTTAATATATAAAATATGAAATATAGATTATGTTCCAGTGTATCTAGGGGTTGGACTGGTTCAAACTGGTTTGAAGTTCTGTATGAGAACCATTTGCATCTATTCTTGGCTTGAGTATTCATTCAAGTTGATGCTTCTCCTATCTTATCCAAGAACCCATTTGCTGTTCAGTCAAGTCTGACTTTTAGTGACCCTAGAGGACTGAGTGGAACTACCCCCAGTGTGTCCAAGGCTGGACTCTTTTATTTTTTAAAAAATGTTATTTATTTGTTTATTTTTAAATCATTTTATTGGAGCCTTGTATATCAGTTGTATCAAGCATATTTGTACATATGTTGCCATCATTGTTTTTTTTAATTATTATTATTATTTTTATATATATATATATATTTTAACATTTTATTAGGGGCTCATACAACTGTTATCCCAATCCATACACACATCAATTGTGTAAAGCGCATTTGTACA